ACGAGGTCTGCAGGTGCCAACCGATCATGCTTGAGCGCTAACTCTCCTGGCTCTCCGTCGGGCATTTTCTCATGAAGAGGAAAGGCGTCTACTGCTAGCCGGTCATCGATGTAATTGCCCTCTGCCGCCACCTGGAAAAGCAAGCAGGAAAGTGAGACGTGCTTCAGGCTGCCTTCCCCGATTTGACAGCCCAAGCTGGTGAAAGCCCGACACACTGGAGGTCGTCAGCGCGCAACTAAGGTCAAACACGTCCAAGCTCATGCCTCAGGCACACATGGGTAAAAGCTTTAACTTAGGTCACACTAGCATCCAACAGCATCGAAAGGCACGCGCACGAACCACTGAAGCCATGTGATGCAAGGAAGCCCGTGTCACGCCCCAACCACCAAACAGTTATGTGGCTCCTCTGAAGCAATGTCTGACTAAACTCTCTCGTCACCCGTCTGTTTGCTGCCATGAGGCCGTCCACTATTTCTGGACGATCATAAAGCCATCTTTGAACTTGTTGTGCAGCTCTTGTGCAGTTTCCTTTATGCGGGCCGGCGCACTCGACTGGCCAAGACAATTCCACCTCTGAAGTAACTCTACCAGTGCAAGCCCAGAAGCGAAATACTTGATTTCAGGAGGGAACCATGACTCCAGACATTTCCTCAGAAACAGAGAAAGCAGAGAGTAATCTCCTCTCCCCTACAATTAAACCCCCCACCCCATTAATATGAAATTCTCCCATTTTATTAAGTGGTATGGGGAAGTTTAATATTAGGGGAGGGGATGAGACAGCATCCTATGATGTGTACGGCAGCAAGATCAGGAACATCAGAGTTACAGCACGGTTCAGGCTCAGGCGTGTGAGGCAAGGTGCAAGCCCCCTACCCTGTGCTCTGGATGATGTAGGTTCTTCTCAAAACTGTGAGCCCCTTTAGGTCATAGAATATATTACGGATACAAAAACGGGACCCCAATTTTGGGAAACCCTAAACCCTAAACCCTACCCTAAACACCCCTATATAATCCCCATATATCCCGACATATCCCCCTATAACCCCCTTAAAGGGACCCTAATTTTGGGAACTGCCCATGTTATGAAAGGCCAATGCAAGATTTTCTGTCAGGTGCACACAATCTGGTGGTCCTGGCCAGGCTAGGAGAGCTTGGGTTCAGGGTTTAGGGTTTAGGGTTTAGGGTTAAGGGTTTAGGGTTTTTTTTTCTCGGACCTTTTTCCCCCCAGCACGAAGAGTCCTGAGGGAATGTGCTTGCACACGGTCCCCGCATAGGCCGGCCCGTAACACCAGTCACCCATGCAAAAAGCAGAACAGCCCTGCCCTCACTCATCCCCCTGGCAAAACTTACAGACAAGCTTACGGCCTCACAGTTGTTACCAGAGGAGAGGAAAGCTCGGTACCGCAACCACTATCCCACTACTTTAGCCAGGATTTCAGGTTGGTTTGCTTCAACCCTTCCCCTAGCCCATCCTTACGGTCAAGCAGCTCAGTAGATCCCGATGTGCTAGGTTCACCAGGTTCATTGCCAGGTTGAGTATGCTCTCCGTCGCTGAGCTGAGTGTGGGAGGCATCAGCCATAGTGTCAGCAACTGCCGCAGTGCCCTCGCCGTCCTCCACCAATCCAGATCCTGACCCTGACGGCGTCGCTAAACCTGGCCAAGGAGCTTCTGAACCAACTCCAATCGCGGGATCATGCCAGGCTCGCAGGACCGGCTTCCAAGCATCGGGCACTACATAGTCCTCACTTTCTCCTCGAACTTCAGAAGCCAGCGAACCATCACCCTCACATCGTTTTGAAGGTTCTCCTTGTGCAGAATCACCTTGATCCTCTCGCCTTTGTGAACCATCACGAACCAGAAGTCCCTGACCCTGACCCTCAAGTAGCCCTGAGCCCTCACAACTCCCTGACCCTCGATCTTGATCAGCAAGTAGACCCTGATCCGAGGTTCCCTGCAGGCTCCTGGCCCACTCACCCCACCCTCCTTGTTGTGCAAGTTCTTCATGGTGACCCGGTCCAGTGCCAGTGCCCTCCAGCGCGTTCTCTTCAGTGTAGGGCAGAGCACCACTCTCTTCGGGCATATACGGGCGCGTCAGGATACTAGCTTGTGAGTTTGTCGAGCTGGAGCTAGAGCTGCTGTCATCATCGTCGTCCTTGGCCGGGGCGATGTAGCCAACTCCGTGCTCTCCGCAGTTGAGCACATCCCTCTCATGGTCCTCCTGCTGCGAGATCCACATTAGCATAGCCTCGGCCACAGACTCCCCGAACTTCTCTTTCACATCCTGTGGAGTAGCTTCAGCCCTCCTGAGCCTTCGCAACCATGTCCTTGCCTCAGCAGATTGAAGCGTGTCCCTCACATTGTCATCCAGTTCAGGCAGCTCCTCCACATTGATGTCCTCCATATCCCCAGCTTCATGTGCTGCAGAGGCTCTTGGTGGCGCATGTTCCGCTTCCTGCCCTTGTCCCGGTTCCTGCCCCTGTCCGCCCTCTATGTCCGTACCCCCAAGGACGGTTTCGTGAACCTGGAAGGTGACTGTGGCCTGCTTGTCCGTCGGGAGGTTCCCTTCAATGATTGCATGCCCGACCTCCAAGCCTGCAGAAGAACCCACACATACGGCCACTCGTATTCTTTTCCTCGAGGGTTGCTGGCATGGGCGCTCCAACTCCGAGGCAACCGCCCAGTCCTCATAGTCTTGTGCACGAGCAGCGTCTTGGCATGCGAGGAGATATTCGTCGTGCTTCTTTTGGTTCTCCTCGTCCTCTTTGACCTGTGCTTCATGAGCTTCCAATTCTTTCTTCTCTTCTTCCGTGGCATGTTCCCAGGCCGCACCTGGCCCCCTTTTGATCATCACTTCACCTTCAGGGAGCGAGTCTTCTATCGTCATGATCTCCTCCGGGCCAGGGGCTTCAGCCAACGTCGAAGGCGCTGCGCCTCCCAGGAAGGGGGCCTCCGCAGTTGCCCTTCGGCCCACAGCTGCATTGCCAGCGGCACGTCCATGTCGTCGCCTCGGAAGCAGGCAAGTAGGGCTTCAAGTCTTGCAAACCTGTCTGCCATTTATGGTGACAGGTCTCCTGCTAGTTGCCGAAGGTGAAGGAGAAGCTTGGCCATATGAGAGGTCGCCTGTTGCTGCTGGGAGGAATCTTGTCCTTCCAGGTGCGACTGCAGTTGCTGCAGCAAGCCACCGAATCTTCCCATGGAGACAGCCCCTTGCATGAGGACTGTTGCATCCTCTTCATGCACCCCTGCTTCTCGGATGCCAAGTTGCAGCATACCGCTTTCTTCACCCTCTTCCATCTCGTCCACATTGACAGGGCAGCCCATGTTCACAGCTCTGAGTACTTCGGCCAAAAATGCAGCCAAGAACGGTACGATTTGAGCGATCATCTGGGTCCGCTTGGCCTCGCTCATTCCCTGCAAGTTGTTGGCTATGTTTTCGGCCACCTCGGGAGGCAGTATTGTATCCTGCTCTTCCATCGGGTCTTGCAACCCCACTATCTCTCCCCACCAGAGGATGTTGCCGCTGCCTTCGCCTGTCAGGCGAGGAATAGGTGCATCCGACGAACTCGCCGCCGCACACGTTCCTGGTGCTGATGACGGCCTAGAAGTGGTAGGGGCTCTGGATGCCGGCTCTCGTCTCCAAGGTACCTTAGCTGTTGAACTCGTCGAAGTCACGGGGTCCCTCTTGCATGCCCTCTCGTCCAATGTCTGTGGTTCTCTTGCCTTGACCTGTCCTGCATGCGTTGTGCCCTTCCCCTTCTTCGTCTTCGAGGGCTGGGTGATCTGGGCCGTTTTCTCTGCATGAACATCACCTCTTCAGGTTCGTCAACCTTGACCTCCTTCAAGCGGATTTCGGAGACAAAGTCCACGGGGTCTCCCTCTTCAAGTACGTGCCTCGAGAACCGCATGACGTTACCCTCAACAATCGACACATTATCAGGCAGGACCTGGGGGACATACTTGATGGCATAGGCACTCAGTTGCAACTTGCCCTTCACATGTGCAAAGTTCGGTCTATGCGAGCTCCACGTGTCACATGAGGCCTTTTCTTTGGTCACAGATGCCAGGCGCGGTTCCACGGCATATAGGAGGCATTCACCTTGCACGGGGTTGTAGAGCTCCTCATCCCGGTCTTCCCAGGGCATCCACGAGGCATTGGCGCCACGCCACTGCATTCACCATCACATTCTCGGCGTGTGTAAGTAGACAAAAAGAAGCGGCCATCGTCACGAGTAACCGCTGGCGTACACTGCTGGTACAGCAGGGATTCATCCACATGGTGGAGCTCAAAGTCAAGATCACATCCACGAAAGTTACCATTCGCCAAAGCGCAGAAGAACACGCATAGTAGGCCAGCCATGGCACAGCAAAACTGATCTAGCAGGCAAGAGGTGTACTGTCCCTGCTTGACCTGAAAAGCAGATCATTCGTCACCATCCTGTTCACGCTGCCAAAGCTAGCTGCCTGCCTGAAGCCCAGCTCACCTGCTCTTGCTCAATCCACGCAGACTCAAACCCTCTCCATTGATTGCGGTTAGCGGCAGCCACTCTCCAGTTCGGTCCCCCAATCACCCTAGCCACCCTTCGCTCACAATTCATGAGGAACGGGAAGTGACGGTTGTGACGGGTGCCTCGGATCGAGTGTTGTTGTAGTTCCCACCATCCGAGTCCTCGATACATCGACATTGACCCTGTGACTGATGGGCTTTCGCTCTGGCCTTCTTGTATCCTATGCCCCAAATACTGCCAATATGCTGCGAGGTGCTTGTCTCCCCATCTGGTCTTCTGAACGTTGTGCACGACCCCCCTTGCTGCCCTTAGGCTCCTGGCCTCGAAGTCAACCCACAGTTCAGACCCTCCCCTTTTGATTCCCATCATTCTCCTGACACAATTGAACTGGAAGGGTTTAGGGTTTAGGGTTCAGGGTTTAGGGTTTAGGGTTTAGGGTTTAGGGTTTTAGAGTTTAGTGTGCATAATGTAGTAGTTTCTCTTTTCCATTATCCCTATATAATCCCCAATATATACCCTATAAACCCTATATAACCCCTATAAAACCCTGCAATCCCTGTAGTTTCCATGTCCTTTTCTCCCTGTATTATCCCCAATATATACTGGGGAATATGCTGCAGCCCAGAATTTCGGCATTGATTAGCTCCCCGGTTTTGGATGAGGAGCTTTGCAGCAGGTTGCGCGAGCATGGCTTCCAGGATCTCCTCAGCACAAAAAGGTTCAACTCAAGAATTCAGATATTGGGGATAATATAGGGAGAAAAGGAAATGATAACTACAGGGATTGCAGGGTTTTATAGGGGTTATACAAAGGGATCATAGGGTGTTTGGAAAGACTTGTCAGAAACTCTCACGCATCAGTTGCATGCCCAGCGGCCCACCACCCTTTGTCCCTGACGGGCCAGACCGGATTCAGCGGAAAGACGAAGCCATCATGAACCTTAAGACTCGCCACGGGTGGTCTTGCAGGGAACATGTGCAAATGAAAACGAAATTAAGACGCTGCACCTCCTCAGCAAGACTGCCTACAAACCTTCGCGAACTAGCAATTGCGCGGCTTGCTGGCCGCTTGAGAAAAAGCTTGCACAACTGAGCTAAATTGTGTCTAGCGCGCCCTGTTGATGAGGAAGTCTCGAAGACCAGCCTTCCGGAAGGTTTTTCTTGGCAACTGAATGCGACACAATACGACAAGTCTGCGCTGCCTCGGTGGTGTAATCCCACGGCTTGCCCTCGAAGCCCTGCCATACGATGAGATACTCATCATCAAGCTCCTTGCTGTCCAAAACATTGGGATCAAGATCACAGCAACAAGGTCACTAGTATACACTTTGTTCTGCTGAGTTCTCAAGTCAGGCAGCACAAGTATTGGTGAACATTTTCAATCTCTTGTTGACTGTTGTTGCTAACGCTACATGCAACCAAGAAGCCTGTGGAAAGTACAAATTGCAGCCTTGGAATTGCTTGCAAGCCAGCACACAGTATCAAAATTTGCAAATGCATGCAACGGCAGCACTGCTGAGAGTGAAGTTGCGAGCTAATGCGGAGCCTGAGGGCTCAAGGGGAGTGCCCTGAGAAATCTGAAGCTTCAGCGAGAGCACAACCCACAGCAGTCAACAATTTCCACTTCTGTCGGATGTAGGAGACTTGTGACGAATCTTGCTGCCAAGTTGCACTCGGCACCGTGTCGCACGGCTCCGCACGGCGCGGTTTCCGCAATCACCTCAGGCTTTGGCCGCAGGGCGCAGTTGGGACCGCGAGCTTCCAGTCAGAAAATCATGAGGTCAACATGAACTTCTGACCCTCAATCCGTTTTCCACACTGAGACCGTGTGTGCACTCTTCTTTGTGTCGGACTAAAGCCGCCACTGCAATCAACGTAAAATGGCGTGATCCGTTCAATGGCCGAGAAACATCTTGAATCAAGCGATACCTGAGCGAGCACAGGGGTACTTCGATCATCAAGCACTGCAGAGACACAACCTTGCTGCAACATGTCCTTCTCTGGCGACACTGCCTCTACAAACCCCCGTCCCTCAGAAGTTAACCAACAGCATTGATCTCAGTCTAGGCCAAAGGACGAGGTTGGGTCACCAAAGCCAAACTTTGGAATCCTTGGTGCTCTCTTTTTGCTCTAGCCAACAACCGAGGACTGCAGCTTCATCATGGCAGGTGTCATAGGATGAATGAAGACATGTCTACATGGTAGCCGGAAGCTTTCATGCAAAATTGCAATCTTAAGTTGAGCATCGCAGGGTGGAATCCCCGCTCATTTTCCTTGGCAAGCACTTCCAGCCACCGGGAATTCCAGGATTGATGATCCAAAGACCCGAGAATGTCCTCACAGCGCCGTAGAGCATGCAGCAACATGCTCACAGTCAAAGGCCGTTGACCGTCAGCACTGTGATCAAGCGCGGCATCCTGGGTGTGCCCGAGCAGCCAGTTGATCAGCTCTGCCTGGTAGGGTTTCGCATGATCATAGAATGATACTAATAACAACAGTAATATAGCAACAAGAATAGTAATATGGTAGTGATACTAATAATACGGTAATAAGAACTAATCCTCACGTTGCGGAAATGCACTTCAATGCTGCTGCGTTGATGTGGAGGAGTGCCTGCTCAGCAGGCAACGACTCGTACACCATATTCATGGAGCCGACAGTAAAGGTGTCGAAATCCGACACGACCTGAAAGCTCCAAGGCAGCCTTCTCGTGCAAGGTTGCTCGCCCCCTGAACACTTTCTTGCGACCATTATCGCATATTCCTAGACGCATTACATGATGATGAGCACTTCCGTGAAGGCAATTTGCCTTCTGAGCAATCTTCTGTCACAGCAGCCCTGCCAGCAACGTCTCACACATGCTCATCATGTAAGCTCTGCAATCCGGTGACTGGCTTCACGAACGCTTCTGCGTAGGCTATCAGCAAGCCGCGTGGATTCCTGAGGGCAAGAGTGCTTGAGCTCGGGGAGGTGCTGGGGAGAATACCACTTCGTAAGCATCCATGTGGAAATCCAGCTCCAGAAGCCCTGAACAGTCTGAAAGCTGGTGCTTGCCGGAGCACATGACTTCGCTCTCGTCGTTCTGGTAGAGAACAACCTGATTTCACCAGAGCATGTATACCGTCGGCAAGCACCACATCGAGTCGCAGCGGCAAGAGACAAGTGGGTGCCAAATGACACGACTCGCAGACTCATTGCCAATGCGCGACTTAAATGAAGCTGAGTTGGCAATCTTAAACAAAGGTGCCGAGTGTAATGATTTGGGTGAAGCCCCGAAACATGGCTGACGGAAACCATTTTGCACGATGTGTAAAGCACCTTTCTTTCTGGGACTCAGGTGCGCGAATTCTGCATGATTCTGCACTGGGCCCCCTGCCTGCGGGTCAGACTTCCCTCTGATCGCATGCCTCAAGCTGAACCATGCACGAGGGAAACGGTGTCTGCTGCACAGAAATTCAAGCACAAGAATCGGCAAGTTGGCTCCTGCCAAGATTGCTAAAACAGTGAGTTTTGAAACGCAGGCCGACTTGTTCAGCCATCGTCAATTTGCCTCCACTCAAACAAAAACTTCAGGTAAGAAGCAAATTCATGTCCATAAAGGCGGGTTCAGATCTGCGACCTGTTTCCCAGCCCATGACCTGAGATGAGATTACTTGGCACCGAGGTTTGGACAGCCACGGCACAGGATTGCAGGAAATTCCTGACTATCACTCCAAGTGGCTGGAGATATGTCCCTCTGCATGATGTAGGCCTGTGGCCACTCTTGCAGAAGCAACCACCTACCCTGCAAAAACCTTCTGCAGTTTCATCCGCCTTGCGACGTGAAATCACTTCGCAACAGCTGATAGAGCATGTCTTCCAAGAGCAGGCCTCTCGCATCAGAGGCTCGGGCATGTCAATGCCCCACCTCATGCATGGCGCACAAGTATGGAGATTTGCCTTTGCCACTTGCTTGTCTCAATTTGTCAAGTGTTAGCCGTTGCTAATGCCTTCGAATTTGTGACAGGCTTCGGGCTCACTCATGCTGGAATACTACATTGCATGCCTACATTTGCCTTACCTGGAACTTCGTGCAGTCAAGACACACATCTGGCTTATATGAGTCCTGCCAGAACAGCCCGAGCAGTCACGGCTTTAGGTGCCCTGGTTCTTTCCTCATCTCTGGGAGATGCAGGGACAACTTCAGAGAAAAAGCGCAACGGCAACTTCTCCTCGTCTTTGAGAGACCGGTCTTCGATTTTGACTGTCGAAACGGTCTCCGAGAGAACTGCTTGCAGTACCTGCGGCAAATATATTAGCAACCCGCTGCTTAATTAGGCAAAATCATGTGCAGCCATTGCGGGCAACAAGGACATTTCCTCCGTTCATGGGCATCTCAGAAATACTTAATACACAAACACACTGTGCAAGTTTCAGTGTCCAGCATATCGGAAAGAATTTACGCATCTGAGTATGAAATAGCCTGAAACCTTCTCGCAACTTCAGTCTCTGCCCCACCCAGCTTCCCTGCAGGAAGGCCTTGCGAGCCTCCTCTCTGGCAGCCTTGGACTTGTAGTACCTGCGCGGAGGCGTCGAATCAGGGCATCGATTTGTGTTGCAAATAAGACCGTTGCAGTCTCTAGCAAGCTTGCCTGGTCACCGAGGGCACTTGCAAGCCAGTCAGACACAAGCATCGGTCAGTGAAGCAGCACCAAGTCTGACATATTGTTCAGACTCGCCCGATTGCCCCCCAGTGCATACACTGTCAGGGCACACTACAACTCGCGAATCTGCCGGGGACTCCTCAATGACCTTCTTGTGCTCGTTCTCGCTGATCCTTACAGGCGAAGCGCTGCGAAATTCCATGTGAACTCTGGGGTGTGCCAATGGCCTGCCTCACCCTGCCACACCGTGACACATGCATCCGAGGATCTGCACAAAAGGAACGAGGCCAGAGAGAACGCCTTTCTTGGCCGACTTCCCCTTGACCTCAGAAGATCGTGCACGCAGCATGTACATGTAATTCCCGTGCTGTGCCTCACTGCTGCAATGTACCACAAGCTCGATCTCACTCACTTCATGTTGGATCCTGTTGGCACTTCTTGCTTCCCAGGTAGCATTCAAGCCCTTTCCTACCGCGGAGCCGGACAGCATCTTTGCAATGGCATCCTGCGCCCCAAGGATGGCAAAAGAGAGGACAAAACATGTTCTCCAAAATGGAGAAACAATGTAAGCAAATGGAAAATGAACTGGGAAGTGGAACTTACGGGCCTGATATCTCACTCATAAGTATAATCTCCATTTTCCCATTTTGTAACCCCTGTATATCATATATACATATATGCACATATATATATGTACATTTATAAATAAATGTATATAGATATATCCCCATATGACCCCTTTGAAGGGCCCTGGATCTCCCGTATCTGGGGTTGCACTGAATGCCTTCAACCCGCTGCGCAGACAGACGTAACGGCTAAATGCACAACTTTGCAGCGAGCTGCACCATGACCCCTGTCCCAACATACTAAAGTAGTTTGCTAATGCCATGCGCGCATGCTTCGAGCACGCAGTGGGTAGCTAGGGTTTCGGGTTTAGGGATATAACCCCAATATATTATAGTAGTTTCCATGTTATTTTCCATTACCCCAGTATAACCCCAATATACCATAGTAGTTGGAGCGCGGCGGATTCCCGCCCGTATGGTAAAATCGTGGAAAAAAGAGCACTGAGTTGTTTCAACATTGACATGTCGCGTGTACTGGAAATCCCACGCAGGCCAGTGATTTTGAACCCTCCCAGCAATCTTGCTTCAGTCGTGCGAATCTTGAGAGAATTTTGCTGTTCTAAATTCACCCCTTA